ATTACAATAAAACAATAAAATTAAATCATATTTAATATAATTAATTTTTTAATTTAAATAAATTAATTATAAAATAACATCTTTTTTATTTATATATATATATTTTTATTAATAAATTCATTCTCATATATATTCATTTGTTTGTAGTAGCCGAACGGATATGCTAAATTTTGGAATGTAAAAAGACAGTTTTGTCCTCATTTGTTTGGAATAAAAAAATGATTAAACGATTATCACAAGGTTCCTGACGAGGATACCATGAAGGGTTGTTTTGTAATCAACGACAACTTTTGTATTTATGTCTGTTTTTTTTTAAATAGGGGAAATATTTAAATAATCCAAATTATTTTGCTATTTCTACCCGTTAGAATATATCACCACAAATTAGTTTTTTTTTATATTCTGATTTTTAAGTTTTTTTTTTTTTTTTTCTAACGGATGTTTTTGAATGATTAATTCATAAAACATTATTATTAAATTTTATGTTGAATCCAAAGTTGCACTAAAAATACAGTTTTTAGTTCATATCTATTTTAAAAATAATTATATAAAACAATTATTATAAATATTAAAATATTAAATTTAGAAACTAGTTGAAGTAAATAAAGAATTCTTAATTAATATTAATACTTTTAACTACTTGCATGTGAAGTTATTAAAATTTAAAAAATTACGCTATCTACTTAACAATAACGTCATAAACATTTTTAATTCGTTAACATATATAATATATTTCACCATCAATCTATGTCAATTGCGTCACATTTTAAAAGATAAAATTATTTAATAATATCTTTTGATTTACATTTATAAATATATAAAAAGCCATATTTATAAGTATGTATGGATAATTGTAGAAGAAAATATGTAGAGACAATTCAATATATATATAATGCTAGAAGATTATTTGCGCAATACAGTAAGACTCATATTGATTTTAATGTTTTATTTTATTATTTGTCTATGTTGATGTTATAATACGATTTTATGTGTTTTTAAGAAAACATTAATGCTTTTATTTTTGAATAAAATATAAATTTAAAGATATTATAAAAATTTGAAGAAAAATATATCAATGTTAATATCAAATTAACTATTTAAAATTTCTCATTTTTTATGTAATTTCTTTAATTTATTTTTTTATTATAATTTAATTTAAGTTTAATAATGAAATAATTTATTTTTGTTTTAATAATATAACATTTTATAATATTAATAATTAAGTATTCTGTTAGAACTTAATGATTATCTTAATTAT